AGTGGTGTCACAGCTCACAGCAACCTCCAGCTCTTGGGCTTAGGTGATTCTCTTGCCTCAGCCTCCCTAGTAGCTGGGACTATAGGTGCCTGCCACAACGCCTGGCTATTTTTTTGTTGCAGTTTGGCCGGGGCCAGGTTTGAACCTGCCACCCTTGGTATATGGGGCCAGCGCCCTACTCACTGAGGCACAGGCGCCACCCAAGACTGACTTTTTTTACTCTGGCAATAATGATAACCATCTTGTAGACACATGTTCAAAGGCTACCTCCTTTCATTTCTGGAATGTCAAAAATGTTTTGGGGAAACTAAAAAGTAAACAAAATCTTTCATTCACCAGAACCCCCCCCCTGTGTACACAGCTATGTTGTGTACAAAGTGTGCAGGGCATTTAGCGGCCAACGTGTTTTCATTTTCTTTGGTGAGAAGTTCAGAGGCTACATAGAATTTATAAAAATTTTTATTTGCAATGTCTGCCAAATAATCAGTCAGATGGGCAAAATCTCATTGTATTTGGACCAAATAGTATCAACATTCTTTCATTTTTCTCTGCAGTTTCATTAACATCCTCATAGAAATCAAAAAGACAATTTGAAACTCCATTTTTCAAATATTAGTACTTAAGAGCTGTATAGGAGAACTTGTTTTTATTGCCATGATTTGACAGAATAGTTGGTATATTGTCAAAAGCATGATTGTTGGCAGGATCTGGCAGAATCAACTCTGCTTTGTGGGGCCAACACAGCTGTCATCAAAATTTCGCCTTTTGTTCACCCACAGGATAATTCAGTTACAGCCTCTGAATGAGGAAATGTGACTTTGCTGAGTTTCATTAAACAATCAAAGGAGCAGTATAATCATGCCAGTTCATTTAGTGGTATGCCAAGCCAATTCAGCAGCCACCGTTTTCAGCTGAGAATTGGTATCTTTTGGAGAGACAAAAACCCTTTTTGATTAATTTAGAGGTACTTGCCTGAATTCCTGGGGACTTGTGAGACAGTCTCTACATGTGCTTCTACATTCCTTTGTCCATCATGCTCAATCCCAAGTTCTTGTCTGCCTGTTGTGCTGTATGCTCTGTTTTGATTCTCTACTTCCCTAACCAGTTTTATGTGTTATTGTATCTGTCACTAAAATAACACAGTTGGGTCATATTGGCATTGGTATTGTAATTGTTCTCATTTTCATTATCTGAACTCTTAAAAAACGGGATCCTGATACTCACCATATTCCAATTAAACTAGCATTTTTTTTTTTTTTTT